GAAGTAACCAAATAACTTGAACAAACTGACGACGATTTCAAAGGGGTTCGCTTTTATACATGGGCAATGATAGATATATTCGTTGTTGTCTGTTGACTATTATATATATATATATATATATATTTATCTATATCTAAATCAAAGGGGTTTGCACATGTACTAATGTATAAATATGCATGTGTGTGTGTGTGCTAACCCCTTTGACTTATGAATATCGACTTACAACATATGCACATACATACATACACACACATGTAGACAAATGTCGACATACAAAAACGAATCTATTATTGCCCATGTATTAAAGCAAACCCCATTGAAATCCATACATGTACATGTACTTACATATGTATGTAAGTGTGAACTTTGAATCTTTAGACTTCAAAATTAAAGGCCGTCACGCTTGAATGTCAAACTGGTGATTGGTCTAAATATATTATTAACTTTGCATTTGTAATTTGTCTTACTTATAACAAATTTAAATTTATATCAACACAAAATTAAAAGTGGCATTGCAATCATAACACTGATGACTCATTTTAATACCCTGGCAGAGGATATTATAATTTTCAAGAAGGATACAACCCAGGACATTTGATCAGTATGAAGAACAGAGTCGATGAAGTCAGATCCTTTCATCTGTCTGTATCTCAGTTTCAAAAATATCTATGTTTTCTCCATGAACAAAATCTTATCAATTACAAATTCTGAAATTTATCAATTTTACTACTCTTTTTAATAAATTCTTTTAAATAAGTTCCTTTTTTGCTTTTCAAGATTCCTTATTGAAGTCTCTGTTATGAACAAGTTTTTGGTTTTCCAAACTATCTTTACCATAATTATCAATAACAAACTTCACAAGGGTATTTCAACTTCGACGTGCCAAAAGAAAACTCGTCTTGATCAGTTATTCATTATTGCATGTATGCATATATACATATTATATATACGTTAACACGTACAAAATAAAGATACGATTAAGTTAAACCTATTCATTATACCCTAAACCCATTAAATATAGATACAAAAAAAAAACAAGTATAGTTGTTTTGTGCAGCTGTATGCAACAGGCTGAATGACGCATTTCCCTTGTCATCAACTGTATATTTTTTTTTTATTAGCATCAATAGCAAATTCAATTATGCCATGTCTGTCTGTCCGCGCGTCTATTTGAGCGCGACGTTCGCAGAATCTATAAATGTTTTTGAACGGGAGTCCTCTTATTTCCCCCCGTTTCCATTCTATAAAAAAAATTAGATCACCAAATTTGGAATTAACTTTCTCGCATTTTGTGTCAATTTTTTTTACGCCTGCCCATCCCGAAAAGTCAAATACTTAATAAGTTTTCCATTCTAGTCTAGTCTTCCTAATGTGCAATTAAATAAAAAACAATTTTTTTATTAAATAGGAATTTTCTTAAAATATTTTTTTTTTGTACAAAATTTATTGTTAAATATTTAGTAATATTTTTTACTCTTTTTTTTTTTTTTTTTTTTTTTTTTTTTGATAGTCATTTTTAAATTAATCATTCTTCAACAAAAACCCGAATTGTCACCAAACTGTATTTAGAATGGTTTATTTGCCATTTGCCATACGCGTGAGTAGCTTTGCCGCCTTTAGCGCGTGGTTTGCGACTTCGCCAATGTAGTATGTACGGTTGTGGACGACGATATTTAGAATCAGAAGCGTAGAGTACTGCACGCCATTGACCAGAGTAATGAATGCCGACGTGAAGATCGCACAGATCGACTCAAACCTAGCTTTTCCACCAAATAGTTGGAGGTTTGTCGACTTTGTTTCTCACGTCCACGAGATGGCCACATGGCAAGGGTCTGCAAAAAAGCCAACGAATGCCAAGTCAATGGATGCCGCGAAAGACATCATCGCCATGATACTGCAAACAGTCATAAGGCAGCAGCCAGCAGCTGATGGAGTGATCAATACTGGTAGGATGCCGCAGCCAGCGGATACGATCCAATGCAGTGACATTGCGCGGGACCAATAAGCTGATCGATACGTATGCTCTCCTCGATAAGAGCTCGTCTGTAACTATGATCGACGACGAGCTACTGCGCGACTTAGATCTAAAAAGGGAACGGTGACAACTAAATATACAATGGCTTGGTGCAAAAACAGAGTGCCGACCACGTTGGTAAGCATGGTAATTAGTGGAGCGGGAAAACGCAAACGACATCTAATGCGATACATGTACGCCGTGTCCAACCTGCGCTTACCAATGCAAAGTATGTAACGACGTGATGTAGGGCAACGGTGCACGACTTCAATTGATATCGCATTGCGGTGCGGTACCAAAGCTTCTGATTGGACTAGACCATGCGCATCTTGGACTGCCAATGCAAACTAGAAGCACAGAAGATATTTGATCACACTGAGGCAAAAATAGGTCAACGCTACCAGACAGGTTTATTATGGAGCCGCGACGATGCTGAGTTGCCACGAAGCAACGATATGGCATACAATAGATTGGTCAACAATGAGAGAAAAAAGAGGCGCGACGCTCAGTTTAAAATCCAAATAAGCTATTATTGAATGTCCACGGCTATGTAAATAGTTTTGACGAATAGGATGAACCGTTCCCGGATGAGATCGCCCGTGCCTGTAATAAATGGCATCAGGATATGAACGTGCAAATGTTTCGAAGCTCACGCCATTACTTTGGCCCAATACCTGTACGGGAAATACAACTGTACGTTTTTGTCGATACGAGCAAGTCAGTCAATACGCAGCAGACGATGCTACGAGGCCGCATTGCCGTGCCGAGCCAGGCATGGAAAATTCATCCTGCGATGATGAAGAACAGATGCCGCGTGAATTTTCTGGTTGCAGCAAATATTTCAATTCAGAGATTCTCGAGATACACTCGGCAGGTGCGAACGACGGCTTGGGTTCTAAGGCTCACGCGCTTGTGTAGTGGACAAAGAGCTGATCTTGAGAGATTCGACCTTGCCGCTATGGAATGTGAGGACGCTGAGTACTTGCTGTTACGACGGGCGCTATGCGAATGTGTTCCCTGAGCGGGTCCTTTGCCAGAGGACAGACTGGAGGCCAAAGGATTTCCATTTAAGTTTACGGGTCTGGAATACTTTGGACCACTAGTCGTGAAGAACGGACGTCGAAAGGAAAAGCGAAGTGTTGCCTTGTTTACAAGACTGACAAAAGGGGGCATGGCATTTGGAATTGGCACATGAGCTGACGACAGATTCATGCATATTCGTGATCAGGACCTTTCTCTGCCGTCGCGAGCCCTACTAAGGTTGCACAGTGACAACGGAAAGAACTTCGTTGGGGCCAACAGAGAAGAAAGGCTCAGAAGAAAGCTCGAATACGTCTAAGCTAGAGAATATTCAGGGTGAGCTATATTCTAGAGGCATTGAATGGACTGCCCAGCGAACCCAGCTGAAGGGTAGCCTGGGAAAGGATGGTGCAGTGTGCCAAGAGAGTGCTACACCACACAGTAGAGGAGGTGGCACTCAAGCACCACGTATTGGAAAGTTTCCTGATCAAAGCTGAGAACCCACTTGCCCACTTACCCACTTGCCGGTGTCTGTGGACCGAAAAGTCCCTTTATCAACAAACGTTCTAGTCAAGGAAGTAGCCAATCTATCTGGGTGTTAACCCAGTACCCACTAGCAGCGGTACGAGAGATGCGCCACAAGGAAGCAATGGCGCGTAGCGCGACTATAAACGGACCATTTTTGGAAGCGGTGACTCTTGGAGGACCTGCGACAAGCCGAAATGCCATGGTGATAATATGGCCAGGGGCCAGGCGTAAACCTTGTAGTGCTCAAAATCTAACTCCACCTTCTTTTGGCACGCGACAATATTATTGCAAAGCTCCATGACATGGAATGCCTTCTATTGTCTCCAACAGTGACTGATAACCCAGGCCCCCCTGGTCAGTAACGCCAGTGTCTCCAAGAGCAGTGGTCCTTCTAGCTTAAGGAAAGTCCACAATGAGCAGGCTGACGTCTTAATATATTGGTACCCAGCATTCACATGGTTCACGGCCAAGTACAACGAATAGCGGAACTTCTGGGACGTTCCACCTCATGCCGACTGCCATCAAAGCCCTCTGCATCTAGAGAGCTAAAGCTGCCGCAATTAAACCATTGATCTAGTAAAGGTCGCCACTCTCTCTTTCGCGGGCTGTAACGCCTATCCCACTCGTTGAATCCACGTGGAAGATTGAATTTAGCGATAGCGAAATCTACTCAAGATTCGTTTTTGGAACGCTGCTTGTGGCGGATCAACTCCATCAACTTATCACCGCCATAGGCCTCTTGAACTCTCTCATAATGGCCTAATCTATTTGCTATTCAACATTAGAAGACAACATATCGAATACTTGGAACCATCACGAAACATTGCAGGCAAGTAATACCTCTGTGCCAGTCTAGATATCATCTTTCGGATCAATTCTAACTCCTCTTTGCCGTTAGCCACTGATGACGCGAAATATTTAGGAGATATACTTTTCGTCATCCACTCTGTGTCCCGAATATCGGTCTTGAATGCACATACACGCAACGCACATTTAGGGGAATCGGCACAGCTGCTTTTTAGCTTGAGTCGAAATTCAAAAACAAATCAATGTAGACAGTTAATAATTTAATATTTTACAATTCTGCTTTAAAATTTATTTGGTTTTGCGCTTAAAAACATAACTAAATGCATTTTAGAGTGAGTGATTCCAGCTCCAAATCGTCGCGAATTTAACGCACGTAAGGTTGAGACATCCGTGGATAAAAAGTCAACCATCATATAATTAATAATGCATGAACATTTGATTAGAAAATCCAGTTGTCTGTTCCGAACTTCGCATATTTACCATGTATATTGGTGCAAACTCATTTTACATGATAATTTTTCAGACTAAGATGCACAAATTTAATAGCCACCCTCGAACTTTCGTGTTTTTTTTTTATTCTTTTATGGCGTTGCTGTGCCTCTTAAATATAAACATATTACTTGGTCAATATATTTATTACATACATATTAATGGTTTTATTTTTAACTATATTAATCTTATGTATTTACAAATTTCTATAAAAGCGTACAACAACAGTATTTTTTCTTTTGTCGTTTTTCTTGCGTTAAATTCATCTCTCGAACAATAGTTGCAAACACTTCATTGACATTTATTCGATCTTTTGCTGATGCTTCAATAAAGGGACATTCCCAAAGTTGCGCCAAGGCATTACCTGGAAAAAGTAAAATTACATTTGATTAAATGGCTTATTGCGTTATGCAGACTACAGTATGACTCCATAACCGTCATTCAGTACTTTTTTTTTTAAAAATTGCAGATTTTTTATTGAATAATGACTATATGTAGATTAATACTTCAATGTTCAATAATTATCTAGTCGTTCTATTTTTGAAATTTGAATCTGAATGAAATAAACTTAGGAAAAAATACGCGAAAAATGCGAAATTTTTTAAACCCAAACATATATGGAGGTAATGCGTTGTTTGTCGATATTTGAAATTTTTTAATATTGTGAACACATTAGACTTAATAAAATACATTAATATATAATAATCTTCATAAGAGTTAAAATGATATTTACCTTCAGCAGTTGTTACTTCTCTCTGGCAATCCAAATCAAATTTATTTGCTACAAGTAATATGGGTGCTGGTTGGCTTCCTTTAACTCGAGTAATCACATTTTTCATACTTGAAATATCCTAAAAAGAAAAAAAATATTATTAGCTTTGTAACAAAAAATATATAAGAGCTTGAATTAGCTTTAACCATGTTTTTAACGATTTCAGTTTATCGATGCACGCACGCATTTACTACTTTTCTGTCTTATGTGGGTAATTATTTTGTATCTATAAATTATACATACACAATATTAGGCTTGTCGAAAATATTTGTTTTCTTTTTAATAACTTTATTATTTTGTTATTTATTTAATTGAAATCTGTCAAATATATATGTTAGTCGGGTACTCTCGGTTAGAGCATTTCATTTCAGTCTCATTTTACTTTACTCGCCTTATACTACCGTTTAGTATTTTGCTTTACACTTCCAAAGATATTTACCTGAAATGTTTGATGGTTTGTCAGCGAATACATCACAATAAAGCCATGTCCGTTTTTTATGTAGAGATCTCTCATAGAAGCAAATTGCTCGGTTCCAGCAGTGTCTAATATTTCCAAAACACACGGAGAACTGTCCACCTGTAAGGAATTCGAAAATGTTATGCAATGCTTATTGTGGTCAAAACATATTTTAAGATTTTCAGAATAACCAAGTAAGAGTGCTGTAGTTGAGGGTGCCTGATAATGAATAACTTTTCCAAACATTGTATCTTTCTTCCACATATACTTACAAAATAAAATACATAACCAATATATACCTAAAGAAGGCTCTGGCGACCGAGCAGGAAAGTTATAACTCTTAACGGTTAAATGCCGAGGGAAACCTTGAGCCCCCGCGGGACCCTTGCGAAGCTTCGACTGTACCTTACATAGTCCCCGTCTACGACAAGTCAGCCAGCATCATATTCAAATAAGACAGCTGTAAAGGCCTAGCAGCAGGCAAAAAGGCAAACTATTGAATATTATGGAATGTGAAAACAAAACTACTCCTGGTGGCAGTCACTTAAGCGAAAATCCATCAGTATCACAGTCCATGGTCAATAACAATAGAAGCGGCTACCTTTGGCGAAATAACGGAGCTGGCAAGAACTTACGAAAAAATCGGCGCCTTACATAGCACAGGTGAAAGAATGCCCGACTGGAGACCCGCCTAATGACACGCACAACGCCGCAACCGACCGCCACGGAAAAAAAATTGACAGCAATCCTGCCAAAGCTGCTTACACGAGCTGCCAGCAGAGAGTATGCAGTGCGAACATCCCCAGCACTGCTCCCAACCAGGCTCGTCAGACAAACCGACACGGAGCGTGATCCGTTGGACCAACAACAAAGTGACGCCAAAGCAGCGCGCACATCCCACCCTACATCTGACAAGAATGAGCACGCACAAACAAATTAAGGAGGCGGGAACCAAAAAGTGGTAGCCAAGAAGGGCAATAGAAGGATAGCATAGTTTCCAAAAAGAATCTGCCAATGTTCTTAAAACGGTGCAAGACAACCATGAACTCTAGACGTACCGAGAAAGCGTTAGTGGCATTATGCGCACAGCAACTGGAGAGCTCCCACAAATGGGAACATTTCAAAACGAATACACAGAGAAGCTGACGAAAACTGTCCAGGAAGCCTTAGGCAATTGACCAGACGTTTCAGCTATCTCGGATAGAGTCGGATTTCAGCACAGTATTCGCCAAAATGAAGGAAGGAAGGAAGATGAGGAAGACATTGCGGCACGCAGCCGGCTAGCATGCAGGGAAGTTGCAACGACTCGCGACACATTGTATTGGAAAAATCATGGGTATGATGAGAAGCCTAGACAAAGTTCTGCACGGAAGTAATACTTACAACCCAACAACATACTGTTGGCTAGATCGAAAAGGTAGACCGCTAACAGCGCACATTGCACAGCGGTTGTGCTTCATGCCTTAGCTAGACGCAACGGATACCGATACTTATCGATATATATAAGAATGCGATATCGAAAAAATTATCGACACGTCCACGCAAACGGATGTGGCTAGATCTTATCGGCTACTGGATGTTGTCCAAGAATATACATATATACTTTTTATGGTCGGAGATGAATCCGCCTGCCTGTTACATCATTTTAAATTAGTTAAATAAATCTTGTTCTTTGACAATTCGCAGTGACATATAAGTGGTCGTCATCGATATTTTTATCTTCATCCGACATCCTCCTTAAACTAAAATAAATAATCCTGCGTTACACAGGGCAAATTACTCATTTTGAATAGGTTCAGGCTATAAAAATGTCGTGTCCACCAAAATCGTAGCCCGGTTACATCGACTAGGAAATATTTTATATACATAAGCAATTGAATTTGCATATTTCTTTCTTTGTTGTTGTCTCTTTTATTTTGTTCTGTTTGAGCACTGTTTTAATTGATATTAGCTAATAAACGGAGTATTTCTATCTAACAACATATACTTCTCATGTATTTGCAGAAGTACTTATAATTACATACATATGTATGTACATATAAAAACATGAACATAATGTCCCTATTACTTTTGCACATATATATATACACACACACACACACACCATTTAAATATGTATCTAGCTAAAATGTCTGTTTAAATATAATAAATACATAGTATGTTCAATATTTTGATGAATCTATGCGTTTTCAATGTTTTACAATTCATGAGTCAGAACATAAAACCTACAGACTTCGTAAGATACACACATTAGCAATCAGAATATTTCTCATTACATTATTAAAACTAACGCAACAAAATACATGCAATTTTACGTATAGGACATATACATAAATTTTATAGCTGTATAAATTTACATATGTTCGTACAGTGTATGTATGTACAATTGTGTGTTTACACAATATATACTAGCTATAAAAAATGTATGACAAACCTCTATTTCCTTTCGATAGAAGTCCTCAATGGTGGGGTCATATTTCTCAATAAAACATCCCGAAACGAATTGAACAGTTAGGGCCGATTTACCAACTCCACCAGAACCAAGCACAACCACTTTAAATTCGCGCATGTTTAAAGCACTTATTTGATGTACACCGAATAATGTTCCAAAATTAAAATGATATTTAAATCGTTTATGAATATAAAAGATTTATGTGTTTAGCATTGTGCAATATGTAATGTCTGAAGTCTTAAGTGTATATGCATTAACACTTTTTATAAACATTTATTAGATCTCCGATTGAAAATCATATTTTCCGTGAATATTATTAACTTCGGGCATTGGCATTCGGAGAAAACGAACAATAATCAGATTAGAGATGTGCGATATATGCACAACCTGCTAGAAGTAATATCTTAATACTTATAAAATATTTTTCAGTTTCACACTGAGTACATTTTCGGGGAACGAATGAAATTTATTGAAGATGTGAAACTACATTGGCTACTTCTAGCATCTTACATCTTTTAAAATGTTTGCCAAACAAAACGTTGTGAAATATAGCTGCAAAAATATTTAATGCAAATAAATTAAATGAAGAATGCAAATCATATTTTAAGGCACAGTGTTTTTTTTTATTATGAACTAAATACATTGTGCTTGAAGCTCCTCCACTTGATTCATTTGCTTTTTGTTTGTTTGAAATAATAAATACATTTATTGAATTAATAAAACTTGTGCGAGTCAGACATGTTAAATAAGCTTTTCAATGTGTATTGACGGATAGTTATATTGTCGTAGAGAATTACAATTTTTTTATTGAATGTACTAAAAACTATCGATTATGTATTGTACGGAACAGTATGGGAATGGATTATCTCTCAGAGTTGTTAAAATAAATGAAAACTGTAGGCACGGGCAAAGTTTGTAGTCAATTAACATTGAGTACACACACGAACGAATGAAATTTATTGAAAATGTGAACTGCTGTTCACATTGGCAACACATAATATCTTTACAAATGGCAGCCATATTAAGTATTATAAGAAAGCTCCAAAAGTATGATTTTTTAAAATTAATTCACAACTGTGCACTTTTAAAGGCACAATGGTTACTTTTATTTTAAAATGTATACTTATAATATTAATTATTTGCATTCCGAAGAAATTCCATCGGCTGTGCCTGGAAATTTGCATTGCTGGACGCTATAGCGTCGATATGTCTTTCAGCGTGTTCCATTACGATTTATGTTGCTCCTGTTGGGAGGAAAATATACACATCGATTATTTTCAACGGACAATTCTCCAAATTTGCCGCTTCATGCCAATCTCCAGGGCCTAATAATATCATTACCCCAGAAGTATAACACGCCGCTGCCACAAATTTGAAGACCGCGCAGATACCCGACATCTGGCCAAAGTCAAGACAAGCCCGCCAAAACCCCACACACATTTCTCAAGAATCTCAGACTCATCATTCTGTGGCGTTACTGCTGAAAACGTCTGAACACCACCATGTTTTCCAAGTTAAATTTTTTATCGGACACTCAAAATTTTTCATCAAAAAATCAGATTAACAGAAACGGCTCAGGTACTTCAAAAGCCAAACCTTCTCCCGGCGAAAACGGACCACTGCATACCAAGAGAGCATGATTACTCTATTGGATAACCTCCGTTCTCGAAAAGAAAAATGGTTACACAACACTCCTGGCAATACCGAAGGCATGACTTTAACTAGAGACCTAGGTGTGGCGGTGTTGTACACTACGCAGCTCAATATCAAAGCATCGTTCAGGTAAAATATCTAATGTTGGCTCAACTAGCATAAATATTAACTGATTAGTCCAGCAGCTAGTAGATATCGCAAGTCCCGACCCGAGATCTTTGAGCAGTACCTTAAAATCTCCTTCCCACTTAAAAGGGAGTTTGTATGTCCTTGGCAGCTTGTAAGCGCCTTCTTCGTGGATGGAAGAACACGCTAAGCACGAAAAACCTGTCCATTACAACGTTTGCACGTATGAAGACAGAATAAACCCATAAAGTATATATATTCTTGGTGTCGATCTCAGAACTTATAAGAGATAGAGACTTCAAATTTGAACGTAGGTCATCGTAGTGCCCGCGCAGTACGAGCTTGTTTCTAATAATGGATAACTCGTCCCGTTTCCAACCAATCGGTAATAGAAGAATTCCTAACATGAATGAGAAGTTTTAGAGAAAGAATTTCGCATATTGTGCTGCAGCACCTCGAGAAGAATATATCACCAAACACCTGTTGTAGAGTTCGAACAGGAACATTTAATAGTAAAAATATTAAAGGTCAAAAGTGACAAGACTGCTCTTTTCGGGAGTGTCCGATTCTTTTACCAAAACCAAATCCGGTTCGCGCTTGCTTGAACTGGCTTTACCACCTTTACCTTAGAGGGTAAACAAATATACGAGCCCTAATACAAGCAAGTTAAAAATGTTCTTTCCTTCTTTCGCTCTGGCTCGCGTTAGACGCATTGATTGACGTCTGCGCACATCCACACAATACATAAGACGTTCTGGCATTAAGCGCGACTCTGCTTGGCATTGATCAATCGGACTTGGCATTCGGCTGACAGAAAATTTGGGGTAATTTTTTGAAGAATAATAATGAAATATATGAAAACAAAGATTGCCTGAAAAAAATCGCACACCGACTATTGTTTGCTGGTGTGACAAATATTAATTAATGTAAATTGTTAAAATCGATGTTTAAAATTTATACTGCTGATTGCAAAACGTTAGTTTTATTAGCTATTTTGCAAAGGAATACAAATTTATTCTGCAGGGACTTCAATGGAGCCGTTATTAAGTTCGTCAATAACATCATGAGGATGTTTTCCATCAACAGTACATCCAACACTTTGGGCTGTACCCAGAACTTCCTTGCAGGTTCCTTTTAGTTCACGAGCCATTGACCGTGGTCGCATTGTACGCGCGATTGCCAAAATATCGTCGAAAGAAATATTTCCACTGTGTTTAACTGAAAATTAAAATTCAAGTATTAATATGTGAGAGTAATGTAATGGCATCTTTAGAGAAGCTACATTCCTACAGTCCTATCTTGAGCAAACCCGATATTCACTAGATGTGAACTATATATTTTTTGTATTCGTATTCCCTTTTTCAGAATATTTTTACCAAACTTGGCATTTACAATCTTCGCTATTCTCTCAGATCCCCAAAGCCGTAAAGCAAATGTCTATAAGGGTATTACATATTCAGTGTGCCGAAGTTAGCCATACTTTCTCGTTTTCAAATCTTTTTCTACATATCCATCTGTTTCACACTTTTCGGAGATTGAAGATTTGGTGGGTCAGATTTCCGTCTTAAAATAATTTCCCAGGATCCATAATTTTAGAAAAACCTCGTTGTTTAAATTCGCTGAGGCGAGTAGATGTAGGAGATTCCACTCGCAAGTGTGGAAACATCGCGGGAAACCATTGTATCAAATTTTTTGGTTTATCATCGGATCATACACAAACTTTTACTCACAAATCTCTAGATTTCACTTAACGCTTAATGCGTGTTCCGGCACATTTGAAAATTCCACCCACAACTGTTGTAAATTGGCGGAAAATGATTATACGGAACTTTTTTGTTTAGCATTCGATCGGAATCTAATTCACTTATAAAGATCTTAAATCCACCACTGTTGAATGGAAAATTCCTCTACTAACCGGCAACACTATCAAATTCAAATTCCGTTAGCATATAATAACTCACTGTTCTTTTGCTTTTTCCTATCACGTGGAGGTTCCTTTAACGCCTTGATGATTAAGGAGGCAGCCGATGGAACCACAGATATGGTAGCCTGCCTGTTTTGAATGGTAAGGCATACCGTTATTTTAAGACCTTTCCAGTCAGAAGTAGCCTTTGCAATATCATCACCTACTTTTTTGGGAGACTAAAACAATTATTAGATAAATACTAGCAAACCTTAATGTATACTAACCAATCCGAGAGGACCAATTTTTGGAGCCAACGATGAGGTAGCACCGACTTCTCCACCCACACAACGTAGGTAAACTAAAAACATTAAAATTTACAAATTAATTATGCATTGAGACGACTTTGTTTTTGAATTAAATTACCTAACTTAACTTCCGTGGGATCAAACTTGGGCGGCATATTTATATATGTATGTTTCAAGCTGCAAAAATTAACAGATTGTTAAAATTTTTCAAGATTTTAATTTAACAACAAGCTCGTACATACCGTCCACACAAGCGCTACGAACAGAAAGGGTCTTTCTTGAACATGGGCACGGTAAAATTAGTTTCCGGTTCTCACACAGATGTATAGCGTTCGTTTCGGAACAATGAAATGGAACAAAAAATTCTTGTACACTGCATATTATCACACCAGCATGGCAAAACATATATCAATAATCCATTAAAACATATTTTAATATGGATTACAGTATTTAAAATTGGCATGTATTCTATGTTTATGTAAGCTTATAAAATGTGTTGATAATAAAAGGAAATGGTGTTACATGGTTTTTGTTAAAACAATTATTTTTGAATATATATCTCTATATATAAAACTGTTTGTCCTGACTGATAGGTGATCAGCGCACAGTATATGCAGTAAGAGGCAGGGTTTCGAAATATTCCACCCGCATATCTGGGAAAATCGCAAAAAATTTCTAAAAATCCACATTGAATTTCATTTAAGAGATGTCTCACACACCATGCAGTCCTCCTTTTCGTGTTCTAATTTATTTCCAGAGATCACGGGCAATTCACGGGCAAGGCCGGGGGATAACCGTTATTATAGACATAGGTAAAAATTTCCCAACCTCATAACTCGGTCAAATCTCATCCGATTTTCCCGACGCTTGGCAATTGTACCTTCAACACCCCAAGGTCAAATATCAAAAAAACAAAGAAATGGAAACCATATACAATTTTGGAATTTTATTCAATTTATTGTTATTGAACAAATTTGAATAAAGTATTTCGTTATTCAGTATTTATTTTGTGTTCAAGTTGAGTTTGAAGGATGCAAAAATTATTATCACATTAACTTATGTAAAAAGTTCCAAAAGATGGTGTTTTATTATTATTGTTTTAAAATAGAATATCAAATTAAGTCAAGAATGTGTCTTTCCGGTAGATTTATTCGTGCACAACCATCTCCTTGTTAATTATTTTTTTTTACTGCTCTTAGTTGTTTGTATGTTTGATTTTTTAAATGCCCATTTGAGTTTATATGTACGTTGTTTAGTAGTTCGCAATACCAGAAGATTATTGAAGTATGGATAAATGGAGCAGAATGCTTGTTTCCTATAAAAAGCACGACAGCCAACATGCTCCACTAAAAAGTCGTGAATTTCGAGCGAATTCCATATTCCTTTCGTTAATATTTACAGGGTAGGTTCGATTGACAAAATTAAATTCTGCTTAAATTGTTTTATTAAACAGTATTTTTATGTAAATGTGCTTTTTAAAAAAATGACAATTGAAATTAAAATTGTTTCATTTTCAAAATCAAACAGGCAGTTTTCATTTTGGCATTAAGTCCGTTAATGCTGAATTTTGGAATTACATTTTCGTTGGAATATAGAGTCAATTGACGAAAAAACATCACTGGCTTTTTTGGCAGCATCCACCTTAAAATGTAATCCTCTCAAACCATAATAGTCAACCAATGGCTTGGTTTGTTTATGATAGGCCTCCAGCCTTTTTTTTAGCGCATCTACATTGTCATCACTTCGTTTTATTAGAGGCTCTCCAGTAATCTATTATAATATATTAAAAAATTCCCGCAGGTTAAAATTATGCAACAAGTTTGAGTATTGGAATGCGTTAACTTACGTCGTCTTTCATTTGTACTTTGGGAGGTGCAAACTCTTCGTGATAAGATCGCCCGCTCGCTTGATGAATCAATCGACCGGTTATTCTTCTTACCAATAGATTGTCATCTATAGCAAACTCAATTACAGCATCCAGGCTCGTTCTTCTTTTATCAAGCAATGTATCAAGCTAAGCAAATACATATTATATTTATAATTTAACTCACTAAAATAAAAATACCTTTTCAGCTTGCACAACTGTTCTTGGAAAGCCATCAAGAAGAAATCCGTTTTTGCATTCTGGCTTATCTAAATTGGAATCAATCATATCCACTACCAGATCATCTGATACAAGTTTTCCTTCGTCCATTACTTTTTTTAGTTCGGCGCCAAGTTTCGAGCCCGATGCTATTTCTGCTCGTAGCATGTCGCCAGTTGATAAATGACATACACAAAACTTTTTTTGTAGTAGGGGGGCCTAATAATGAAAAAAATAATCATTTTATTCTTTTATATTTATTTATAATTTATTCAATGATCCAGCACTGCAAGATAGAAATAATTTTTTTTTATTTTATTTTTTGATCAATTTTATCATTACTTAATGGCCTTAAAAAAACGCCGTGGTAATGAGGGTCTAAAAACTCACCTGCCTAGAGAGCTTTGTGCTTTGTGAGCGGCATAATTTTTTTATATCGCTCTCACTATAGGAAACTGATTAGGCTTACTCTCAGTGCTCTCTCATTAATTTCTTAACATCATTTAAGTGTATGTGTGCGTTTATGAGTCTGCACAAGCAACAATGCGCACTAATTGAAATTTTCCCTTTTGAGGGGACGAATGATAAAAAATAATGCAAGGCTTGGCCACGTCAATGCGAAAATTATAGAATTCGATAAGGACGCGTGTGAATGTGTGTAAATGAAGAGAGAAATTCTTGCAATCTGCGCAAGCTGCCGCAAACAGGTGTCAATATAAGCACACATTTTCTTTTAAAACTTTTGTGTTTCCGGAATAGAATATTCGTTTCTTATCAAAAAGACAATTACAGTATTGCTGCGTAATAGTTTATTTAATTAATTTAAAGCTATCAAGTGGAAGTGGAGGGGTGTGGGTAGCTATAAAACTAAAGATAATTGATATAAAGATATACTTTTCAAGCAGCTGTATTTGAAATTTGGTGACTAGCTCTTAAAACCTCAGAGATTTGCTAAAATAACAGGATTTCGATACCGATTTTAATCGATTGCTTGGAAACGGGCAGGTTATCGACTATCGAAAAGTATATAAATATATATATATAAGCAAATATGCACCTACGAAAGTTTTTCTGTGATTTATGTCACATTATTAATATTTTTTTTATTGTATTCCCATTTACTTATTCATTTAATTGTGTTCCTGCTCTTTCTGTCCTCATATGGGATGTATCCGATCTTCATAATATTTTTCTGGCCATAGAATGTCATTCAATGTGTGCTGCATTGGATTAGTATAGGAATAGAAATGGTTTTTCGATTCAATTGACAAAAATACGTTGCTTCTATAAAAAAACAAACAAACAAACATGGCTGCATGGAGCCGGCTGTTGATGCTGAGCAATAATATACATATTTATATTCATATTTGTATGCTTTATGGTCGGAGATGCTTGTAACTTGTAACTGTCGCATACACTAACACAACTGCAATAATACCGGTTTTGTCTTTTGTTCTCTTTATTTTTAATGGGGACACCTGTTTAATTTGTACATAAAAATAAACACTTCATGTTTCACTTTAGCGCGCATTACATACACATGTGTTGGTATGTAGTTACATAACATTGTCTACATCTATAACCCACCTGGGTCCCTTTTCCTGAGCCTGGTGGGCCTAATAGAATAGCATTTACACCAAAACTGCTGGGCTCGTAGCGCTCCATAGGTATCGATACATTTGGAGCCATAGTGTTTCAAATAGACTTCTAACTCTTCGTTTTAAGTTATATTCGTTACGATTTCATTTCCTGACAATCGCCGCAATGTTAAACGGATCACAAAAGTGAACTAGCAATAGAACTGTGAACTGAACCGAATATACTCGATAACAATGTACGTCAAGTTAGCATCGGTCATATTGCGTCGATTAGAGTTTGGTTCCGGAGTCGGAACTATACATGTAAATGTTACTATATACTGTCCACATCTATTTATTATGGAGTTTAATCTCTATGTATATATCCGATCGGTTTTAAATCAATTTTTTATATCGATTTTTTTTAAATTATGGTCGACAAAACCTAACCATCAAATTATTAAATTTAATTAATATATTAATCAGGTAATGCAAGTTGTACCAGATACAGAGGATTGATAGAAGTGTGCATAGCGCAATCTATTCTGCACGTAGGTAGCAATAAGAGGAAATAATTCTTGGTAGGTCTGCACGGAAAAGGGAATTAACGCCCTAAGAGAAAAAAAGAATCTATATCGCCAACAATTAAATTATGTAGGAAGAAAACACCGAGGATTCTCCTACGTTTGGTTAACGACAGAAGATCAAGAAGAGGAAGCCTTCTAGTATTGGATGGCAACCGAAGATTGGGGTGCCAATATAAACCTTGTAAGGCAAAAAGCAGACATTGCTTTTAAACGAGCTCAATACAATCCTGGCTAATATTATACAGCGGAGACCAGATGCAAGAGCCGTGTTCAAAGATAGGGCGAACAAGAGAGATGTTGAGAATTTTAGTTATAAAAGGATTGTTAAACTCACCTTTTCTAGAGCGCTGACACGCTCACCGTTCACCGCTACCAATTAAACTCCTCGCTCGCCGTTCGCTGCTCTAGAGTTTAGGTACACTCATGCACTCAAAATTGTAGATTGTGGAAATTTCATCTCAACAAATGCTTATAGATACTGATAAAAAATCGTATATTTTACAATTCTGCATTAAAAATTATTTGGCGATGTGCCTTAAGACAATTATAAAAAGTTTAAGATGAGTGATTTCGGAACCAGGTTCCAAATATCGACGCATAATCGGCGATGCTAGCTTGACACTGTAGTGAACGGAGCTGATCTGGAACACGTTCAATCAAACTCGTTCAGACCGGTTCAATACATATTTAAAGAATAGGAATGTATTAAAACAAAAAGATGTGCGATTTAAATGATTTGTGGTTAAATGTGCTAAAAATATTTCCGATTTTAGGCGGAGAGGTAAGCCGTAATAGTGGTTTCCTTCTTATGCTTTCGATTTAATAGTGTTTTCTAGATTACTTTTCCGCCTGATCCTATTAAAGATGAAGTCTTTGAAAATGTTTACCGGCAAATGTCAAACATGGGCATTGCCAAAACAATAACATCTATTTTGGACATGGAAGTTGAGTCTGCAATTCGTAATGTGCTTGTCCCAAAGTTTTGGAAACACTTTATTGCTGAAGGAGAATCACATAAGGTCAAGCCTGACATGAACATTGCAGCTTTTACTGATACAAACGCATTGTTCTTCACATTTATCTATGCAATTGATGAACTATATGATGCCTATCAATGCCTTGAGATGATAAAACCCAGATTGTTCTATCTTAATCAAAGCGCAAACTCAACCTCAAATTTGAACACAAAGATTACCCTGCATAATGCATTGCTTGCGCAATTGCCGCCATCGTTTAATAATTTTGTTTGTGACTTTTACTGCGTACATTTTCGGCTTTTTACCAAGGACTCAACTTTATCCTTGAATACACTTGGTATGTCACATGTCCATTATTCAGATATTTTTATATAAAATAAGTAGAATATTAACTTTATATTTTTTTTTTAGATTCTGAAGTATTCACGGAACTTCCTTGTTCTGGCTGTAACATTGATCTCGACCAATGCTGCTGCCAAAAGCTTACAGAAATGGTAAACACAACAAATTTGAAATTGTTGAAGATGGGATTAATTGACCGCTTGGCAGGAAGCGCTTTGACAGCTTTAATAAAGGTGAAGATCAAGGAACATATTAACGACACCTGCGTTGGAATTTTTGATAGAAGTCATCTTAAACAACTTGAAACGGTAAATGAAAAATGCAACCTTTTTACGACTACATTTTTGAAGCCTAAAAAGCAGCCAAGTTGAATGCAACATCTTGTGCCTTCTTCTGTATTCCTTGCTATGTCCTCGCCTACTATGATTTAATCGAAAGTGCTCCTCTGCTTTTGAAAGCCAGTCCGCCGCTTGTTAGAGAATACTTGGTGAGCATTATCCAGCACGGTAATTATCTCGACTGTGTCATTGGAGGCATAACCTGCCCAGCTCGGGATGGCGCGGGAATCGTGTCTCCACTATATGTTGAAGATATTCCATGCATAATCATGTAGGCTAGGCTGAATGGCTAATTGTCAGACTCTGCTAGCAATGACTGCAGAGCGTTGAATATACAAAAGTTAAAATTTCGGCTATAGGAAACTTTAAGAACAAATTTATGTTTGAACTGAAAAACGGAAACAATTCCGAGTAACAGCAGCTACTACAAAAATTTGCTAAATAATGATACACTAATATTGTTTTGTTTTTTTCTTCTTTTTAGTGGATTAACGATGTTGTAATGATATGGTTAACAAGCATTTTCACAGAGTGGAAATCAAGGGACGATATATCTCAAGAGAAAATTCCCAAATCGGTTCAAGCATTTAAGGTTAAACTAACATATTTCATGTATGAAACTTTTGCTCAAAATGTGATAAGTCAATTTTTCAGCATAATAATCGGTAAGTTGTATAATATATATTTATGGGAATTTTTAATCTTTCAGGCGTATAGTTTGCATGCGATAAACTTCGTGCTCCCATTAAATCGAATCATAAAAACAATTTATCTGAACAATTCTTACTATATATATTTCTTATCGTGTTCTTCACATTTGCGTAAAATATTTCAGACTACCCAGATTCTTCGCCTGCCATAGACGATTTAAGGATTTGCATGGAGAAAATAGATATGCGAGTTTACTTAACCGAATCATTAAGAAGTTCTCTAGAGGCACGAATTCTGCATCCCGGTGTCAACACAATGGACATATTGACTGGGTACGTTGCTGCAATTAAAGCCATTCGTCATCTAGATAACACTGGAGTGATATTAGAAATAGTTACGGCTCCAATAAAAGATTACTTGCGAAAACGCACCGATACAGTAAGGCGAGTTGTCACTGGTCTGACTGAAGAAGGGCCAACGGATCTGTCCGAAGAGTTGGCTAAAGGAGAATTTATAAAGTTTGGCAAAGATTCTCATTTAAATGAATTTAGCGATTGGGAAACTTGGGAACCGGATCCTTTCGGAATCGATCCGGATGTCATGAAGTTAAACAGTTCAAAACTTATTCGATCAGCCGATATTATATCCATGGTGGTGGATATTTATGGAAGTAAAGAATTGTTTATGGTCGAATATCGCAATTTGATGGCCGATAGGTTATTGTCACAACTTGACTTCAATTCAGAAAAGGAAATTCGAAATCTTGAACTCTTAAAGATAAGATTTGGTGAATCACTTTTACATAGTTGTGAAGTAATGCTAAAAGATGTTACAGATTCAAAGCGCATCAATTCTCACATCCATGGTGACGGCAATTGTGATGAAAGTAAGTAAAATGAAACCGAATATCTAAATTCATGAATACTTATAGATATATTTCAATAAGGTCCATTATTTAACATTTCGTCACTAATAATTTCGGCTCAATTTTGGCCGTCATTTAACAAGGAGAGCTTACAATTACCAGAAGAACTCGAAAATGAATTTAAGAAATTCACGAAAGCTTATGAGTCTTATAAAGGAAACCGTACGCTTAATTGGCGCACAGTGACCGGACGTGTAAACATTGTCATCGAAATAGGCGAAAGAATATTGGAAATGACGGTGCCACCAACGCAGGCTGTAATTATTTACCATTTCCAGCATAAAAGTATGATTTGTTCCTTTTTTTTATTTGCCCTACCAAAACGTTTAATTTGCCATAGGTGAATGGAGTATTGAAGAACTCAGCAGCCTCATAAAAGTGCCCCCATCCGCACTTAGGCGACGAATAAGCTTTTGGCAAAATCATGGACTGATTGCAGAGATAGAACCTGGAGTTTTTGCACTTTTGGAGAAGGAATCGGAAAAAACACAATTCGAAGAGGTTAGCATTACAGATGCCGACGAAGAGGACTTGGAATCAGCGATGGCCTCTGCTAGTGATCAAAGGGAAGAAGAACTCCAAGTACGTAATTATTTTTAATAACTCAAGCAGTCCCAAGTTTAATAAAATTTAATTTCTTTAGGTTTTCTGGTCTTATATTGTTGGCATGCTTACAAACCTGGATTGTATGCCGATTGATCGTATTCATCAAATGCTTAAACTGTTTGCTTCGCACAGTGGAGGAGTGGAATTTACCCAGGAAGAACTAAAACACTTTTTACAAAGGAAAGTTCGCGAGCATAAACTTTTATTTTCTGGTGGTGTTTATCAATTGGCTAAATAAAATAAACATATTGAATACTAAATAATATAAATCAATTCAAATTTTACAAACTGAGAAAGAGCATCTTGCTTTTGTGAACCAAGAACGGAATTATCAAAATTTGTTCGTATAGGATTAATCTATATAGGTAGCCGATGAAAAAGTCACCGATTTCTTATCCATGTTTCTAATTTTGATTTTTTTGTAAGGCATTTGTAGATTTATGTGCTTCTCGTCTTTTTTGTTCGGCTGTTGAAGAGCGAAAAGCCAGTCGGCTGGCGTGTCGTTTGAAGAGCGAAAAGCCAGCTGAAAAGCCAGGCTAGAAGTTTTGCATCGCATTCTACAATGCAAGCAAAGTAATTACGACGATAATTATTTAATTTAATATCTTTTTATTTGTAAACCTGTTGTTATTTATTATTTGTTAATGAATTTGCGGTTTGAATAGTGTCTCCGGTTTCCAAGTGTTTTATAAGGCGATATAAAGCAGCAGCTTCTTTAATTTTACTAAATCCAACACAAAATGCTTCAATTTCAATGAAGAGCACCTGAAAAATGCAAAAATAACGAGATGTGGATCAGTTTGTATAGACACTCGAAGATGGTATTATGATTTACACGTTTAATGACTACAGCTATAAACTCTACCTCTCGATATAGTCGTCATGTTGGTAGGATTTTATTTATATGTGACAGGAATAGTAAAATTAATAAATGCCAAATTTAGCAAATTTTTATTAATATTTGCGTTAAGGCGATAAGCTTATGCCAACAATGTGAACATACATTTTAGAATTACAGCACTTACCTTAACATTTATAATCTTGTTTCTGATCAAAGATTGAAGGAATACACAAACTAATCGAACCAACCGCGACTGCATGTACTTGTCTTTAACTGTTTCACAAGCAGATATGCAATTACTAATGTATAAATGGATGAATTCGGTGGGTAGAGGGCAAGATGTAGTCAATCTAAAAATATAAAAAATAACATTTTCACAAATTGTTTAATACTTGTTGAATTATTTTTAAATACTACGGTGGTTTTAGTAGTTTTTGCTTATTTATTTGTTTGATCCAATTTCCACCAATACGGATGGACTGTCTGAAAAGTGTGAAACACTGCTCTGGTCGGGAGTGCCCGACTAGGTGATACACTGAATCTTCTTCTACCAACACAAATGTTGAAAAAAAATTAGTTTCGTGTACTGGGAGTCGAACTCGCAACTCCCTTCAACCGACCGAACTACTTGCAATCGCCTTATTCACATAAATATGCCAAGAATTTAGATCACTGCGGTTGATCGACATTTTTGTGTAATTGTGGCTTTCCAATCTACCTAAAACTAGATTGAAACTGGCTTTTAAAAGCGCTAGCAATATGCCGAAAAAAATTATAAGTCATGGTAAACTAAATTTGTAAAAAGCATTAATGTAAAAGACTCGCCTGTTTACAACCTCCATCGAATGTAGTGTTATGTCCATATTAACCAGAATGTTGAAATATTCCGTTATGTCGGTATTTATCATAAGCCTTAGTAAGATCTCTATTGAAATGAGAGGATTGTTTTCAACAAGCTGAGGAAGCTATATGTATATGTTAGAATATAATTGGGTTAATTCTTTGTAAAATAAAAACAATTACTTGCTTATAGCCCAATTCCACTGTCAACATTTCTTACATTTGTTGCGAATGTAACATTTACTTTCTAATGTGAAATACTTAGCCTGAACGTTTTCCAATAAGAAAACGTATGAAGCGGTATTTTTGCCATTCACATGTTACCGACAACGAACACTTGTCAATGGAACCGCACAATGTAAAGCTTGTAAATGTAACACAATGGAATCAGGCTATTAGATAGAAGATTACATACTTTAGCCGGTGTCAATCCATATTGATGTGCGATATTTCGACTTTGTTTTTGTAAGTCATCGAAAAGAATTTGTTGATCTTGTAGACTAAGTGGCTGAATGAAAGCTTGCTCAATTAAAAGTTTTGTGTTGGGAGTAACATAATTTGATTTATCATATAACACAGTCAGATTTTGATTGCTTAGCTGGTTTACCCATAGCAATTCGTCTTCAAAGTCCATCAATGGTGGGGCAATTGATAAAAACATCTTCGTTCCACCAAAATATTTTTATTGGCATAGAAATAACTTATATTTGCTTATCAATATCATAGACCATTTAGAGCTGACCCAACGATAGAGATTCACTCACAACAGGATCTGAAATTGTAAAACAAAAATAAATATTATTGAAATATGACCTAATTGAAACAGATATTAACAAGGTAATTATAGTCCCAACTTATATTCGGTTCAAGGTTAAATATTTTAAACATGCATAGAAATTAATACAACAGAATTCTCACAAGCGTAAAGTAAAAAGTAATTCAAACATCCAATTGTGATTTTAATGAAAGTTCTAACTTTAGTGAGGACATGTCGGCACTAGATACAGGGTAACTCCAAGTCGGGAACTGCCAACTAGATATCTCTTAAATATTTGTAAGATTCGATGCAAAATGCAAGAACAGAATATTTATTTCTACATTTGCAGGCTTGATATGCAATGTTTATACGTTGATACATACATGACAGCCCTCCATGTATAGATGTAATTATAAATCAAAAGCAATTGTAATTCGACAGGCCACTAAAATTAGTTAAATTTGTCTGAAAAAAATGTCAACAAAAACATGGAAAAATATTTGATGAGTTAGATAGATTCAAAGCGTAAGTTGGTTAAAGATCAAATTTCCAATATTTACCATAAGCTATATACAATGTTTTATTCATTAATTTAGAATCTATAATTTGGAATCCGTATATAATTGAAGTGTTTGTTTTTATAGATAAGCTCAACTGCATCGTTCCGAATGAGTTTAATTGAACTATTCAATAAGCACAAAATTAACAACTTGCATCAAGTTAGCGACGATTTTTGCAACTCAGTTCCGGAGTCGGAATCACTCACTTTCATATAAATTTATGTAGCACGTTAGCAAATAATTTTTATGCAAAATTGCAAAAATATAAATTATTCATTGTCAATTTCCTATTATTTAGTTATTTATATTATATGCTTGCAATTGACTGCAAGTAGAGTAATATAGGCGCAATTTCTTTTAACATATATCAACTTACCACTTATTTGTCCATAATTGTAATGCTCCCATCCACTGCCATTCTCAACACCACCGCAAATACAATATAATTTTTAATGAAAAAAATCAAAATAATATAATATTCTAATTAAAATTATTTAACTTGGCGAGTTGTGAAAACATCGCTAGTTCCTAAATTTGCATCGATAGTTCTAAAACATCAAAAATATCGATAGTCCCATTGATTGCTTTAACCGATATTTAAAATGAATAATCTCACATCCCTAATATAAACCCTCTTTCCGTTGTAGCCTCTGACGAAAGGAAGTGAAAATGGTGCGTAAATATAATCAACCATAATTGAACGAATCGTTTATTCTTTTATTAAATATTTATTTTGTTTGTTTCCTAATATTTCTGATAAATTAGGCTGCACATAAATCGTTTCGGATCAAGCAGAAATTAGCTAAAAAGCTAAAGCAAAACCGATCAGTACCACAATGGGTTCGCTTGCGGACTGGAAATACTATCCGGTAAGTTTTGGACACCGTTTGTAAATATGTAGAAATATGCTCCGTATTTACACATCAGTTTGTGTAGATATTTATACAAAACATTTATATCTATTTAGTAATAATAATCAACATAAAATAAGGGAACTTTTCTGTTATTTGTGATCTAGTGCATACAAAATAATGTAAATAAAGGAAGGGCACAAATTGTCGGTTCAAAAATATCCAAGTTTTTGATGGCGTTAGTCCATAAAACAGTTTCTATACCGTTTTAGTTTTGGCAAGAAATGTGAAATAAATAGTATCACTAACCAAATTACATGTGTTATACATGTGTATGTGTTCTATGTTATTTGGTTAGTGCTAGTATCAACAGCCGGGTTAACATAGCTGCCTCATTAACATTACATTTAACATTTACACCGTTCCGTCTTTCTGCTGTGGGCGGTAAATATGTCGGAACCAGCCGGATGGGCTATGCTGTTGAATAAACGTGCCAATCTCGTTGCCGCCTATAAGAAATGTTTAACTGAATACACTAAAAGACCAAGCTTTGCCGACTTTTGTGAGAATAGCTTTAAAACTGAGTGATAGGTTTACATGGAAACAAAGTTGGCTGTGGACGCTGCACACTGCTCTATGACTTATGCGTTACCCTATATAAGGGTATACTGAGAGCAGAAGCTGTTGGGATGTTAGGCGTGGACAATAAATCTGTCAGCTGTATAGCGTGCCTGCATTATATGTAGGTAAAACACCTGCTGGGCAGGTGGACCTTTTATTAGCTCTCAAATTTGCCAAAATCGATATTTACTAGAACCAACGCAACAATCAGGTCATATGTGCATCCTTCTATACAAATAGATTATAACTTATTGTGCCGGCTTGTTCTATTATTGATAGTATGTACTTGATTTATTCTTGAAAAATATTAATGTTAAAATTTTAATTTTCTTTCAGGTACAACGCCAAGCGTCGTCATTGGAGGCGCACTAAGTTGAAGCTGTAAATTTGTGGAAATGCAGCTTGTGTAATTTCAATTTTCCAAGAATTAAATAAATGTATTGAAATACAGACATAAAAATCAGATATATACAGATATATAAATCCGTTTTATTCAAGCACTGAAGTGGATATGATAATATAAGTTTATTTCTAATGTTTATGTTATCCCAACTATGATTTGAATTTCAGAGATTAGATTAACTAAGTTGGGCTGGTCAGCGTCGCACACAGCACAGTTATAAGCGGCAAAAGTTCATGTTTAAAATCACTTAAATTGTAGTATGGAGTCTATATCACACCGACAAACAAAATGTAACAACGAGGAAAATCCCCAAGGTTATTGCCTCTCGCCGCCGTAAACAATACTAATCAGTAATTAAACATTGTAAATGAATGGGCAAATTGGTCCACATAGATAAACATGCGTTTACTCTTACACTAACCAAGCACACAGAAGTCGCGTGCTGTGATGGATTACTTGCAGCTTTTGCTAGCATTGAACGGTAACAAAAGTTTGCTTACGTTATAAGAAATTATGTTCTTCAGTTGAATTTTGGACAACAAACCAGTCGGTACTTTTTTAACTTCTTAATTTTGCGCCCGAATGTTCAAAAATACAACCAGATTCAGTCAACTGGTGCAGCAGCAGGAAAAAGTCCCAACAACAACAGAAGCAGCATATATAAAATAGAACATAAGTAGACGGTTCTTTGATATCCCACAAGTAAATATTGCAAACAAAGCTATTACAATGCTAAAGTACCAACCTTTCTGTAGTAAATAGATTTGCTCGAAAAATTTAAAAAATGCAGCAAAATTCAAGTGAAAATTGTATCCTTAAATATCCTATGTAGACATTTTCCCACTCCCATATCGGTCAAAACTCATCTGATTTGCATAACGTTTGGCTATTTGTTCGACAACAGACGGCACTACGCGCAAGTAACAAAAGCTGTTTAAGTAAATCACAAAAAATGCGAAATTTAGAAACAAAAAGCAGGATGGAGGCGCAAAAATATATAAAAATCTTGAAACACAAGTAAAACGCCTCACTCTTTACTAAAAACATATACATTGAAAAGAAAGGAATGTCTGGCTAATGGTGTGTAGGAGAGAGAAAGGCATGATAACCGACGCAGGCTGGTTAAAGGCCAACAGGCTGCGATGATGAGGCAGGGCGGGTACGCATGGGTCCAGAACCGCGACCCGATCTGGAAGATTCAAGTGGATTATTGTCTTGTTTTTTTTGCTGTTTTATATGAGGGTCTCGCTTGCCAGCTTTTTAATGTTCATTTTCTGTAGTTCGTTTTGCTATAGTGTTTTATACAAACGTCCGGTCGCTACAGATGTTTACTGTAGCACGTTTCCATCCGTGACTACACTTTTATAATAGCGCCACCTGCGATAATCCTTTATTTCAAACTTTTTTTAAACTCTGATTTTCCATATTGTTTTATCGGTTATTATATCGAGCAGTATTTTCTTATCAGCGAACACATGGGGTTGCAAAAACAAAACAAAAAATTACGAGCTTGGTGCATTAGAAAAAAAAGTTTTTCATAAACAACAATCAATGAATATTTGCCATTTTGTATAGTACATTTAATATTATTTATTCATTTAAATGTTAACACAAACGTGCTTTTGCTTATGGCAACGTGCCTAGTGGAAAACAATCGCGTACTATCGATAGATGAGTAACGACCTTTGGAATAGATAACCATTAAGGTCACTAATATTTGTCATATTTACACAAGTTGAGCAGTATGAGAGTTCTTTTAATAATAACGTGTGGATTCGATTTTCTTAATATACTTTGCATTGACCGTATAATTACAAGAAATTTCTTTCAATTTCATAACGAAGATACGAACTATCAGATGGATAAGAATTATTGTTAATATTTTAGCCACTAAAATTTCGCAACCGTTTCTAACTATTTCATAGTATGCATTATTGTTATGCACGTTTTAACTTACCCACAATCATTAGTACAGAAACACAATTTGCGAACAAGGTTAAAATTTCTTTTATTGTCGTACAAATTCAAACAAAAGATGGAAACCTAAAAGTGTACGAAGTCGTAAATTACAAAAGCAGAATGCTGAAAATGGATATGCGAAAGCAAATGCGCTCGGGAATTTGTGGCTTTAGTGAATTTTGAAATGTTCTACAAATCAATATTATAAATATTACTGCCTGATTGTTGCATCTTTGGCCGATGATTGACATCATGAGCTCCCCCATCCATAATCACTACCGATTCGCGGCAACGCGGCATACCCAATCTTCAGATTCAGACAAATCAGAATTGCTGAACAATCCCGAGGAAGGAAGCACGAACATATTGTTGGACGACTTGCAGCCACAGCCGCTCGCCGCAGCGATGTATTCCTTGCAGTTGGTGGCTGATGTTGTTAACAAAATGCAGTCGGCGCTGCATCAGAAGCCTAAGAATAATGTTGATTCCAGTCCTGCGCCTTCATTTTGCTACTTTTTCATCGATATGCAACCGCAGTCTGGAAACAATTACAATTATTCGCATTATAACCTGGATTCTTGTCAAAGCTACAAAAATATGTCGGACAAGGAATATCTAAGCAGAAGTCCGTTGACGCTAGAAGCTGCTGTTTTCAAACTGAAGCGTCAAAGAAGTATTTCCGAATGTAGCGACGATAGCTTTATATGCTTCGAGGAGGACAGCGAAAGCTTAGATTCTGCTGCAGTTGGTTGTACTGATTGCAATGCTGCCGATAAAATGTCAGATGCTTACAACAATAGCCAAGAAGTTCAGAAACGGGTCAGTAAAATCTTTAAAAAGGCTTGTACAAATATTAATTATCTTTTTTTTCTTAGGTGCGCTTTAATTTAAAACCAAAGGTGCATGTAATGCACGCTTGGGACTTTGCTTATCGAGCTGCTCGAAAGGGTGATTGGCAAGAGGTTGCTCGCGATCGCGACAGATTTCAGCAGAGGATAAATCGGATTGCGCCAATACTAAATAATGTTCTAAGCTCCAACCATCGAGAGAAAGTTTACACAGCTCGCTTTTTAGATATAAAATAGTCCTAGTATCTTTATTAATAAATTTATAATTCCTGAAGATTGGTCGGCATTTTGAAAACTTGTAAATAGTCCAGATTGTTTGGTTTTGTTTTATAAAGAAAATAGATAACCTGAATGTACCGAATTTTTAATCAATTTTAATGCTTCATACATCATGGATGCCACCACATTCGCAGCTTTCCGGATCAGGCGCATTGATTGGCAGTATGATCTTCGCTCTTATATGACACAAATTGTCGTTAAGATTAAATACATCATTAACATGGTTATTTTTAGCGCGATTCCCAATGCAATGTACTGCATCCCATCTCCCGTTCAACCGACCGAAGAAATTTTATTATAATTATTTTCGATTCTATGGTATGCTATGTCGAACTTCTAGAAGAGATCGATGACGCAAACAAGCTGTAAGATGACTTGATGACTCATCAATGATGATTAACGCTGTGAAGATCAACCTGAGGGCAGAACCATCGCTTCAGGTGAAAGAAATGAAAGAGGAGGTCCTTCACTTAGAACAAAAGCTAGAAAAGTAGAGGGAATCAATTCAGGACATTTTGTAAGTCCGATAAACAATGGGGCGGAATAAATCTATTGCTCCCTAAGTTTAAGAGCTTCTATAATCACATTCCACGTTCGGTTGGAATGTTCTTACACATAATAAATTAAAACATGCTTTGTTCGGTATTAAGCGATTTTATTTTAATTACTTAAACAAGGTAACGTCTTAGTTTAAAAGGTCAAATTGGTTATCAAAGCATTCCATAAATAAAAGGTAAGTAACTGTATAAGTAGTTACTCTCTACTATTATCTTATACAGAAATATTTGCTTGTAAATGTGTAACATGCATATATATGTCAAACAAAATCGAACTAAATAGCACACATTATCGCCTGTCAAGATAGTTAACGATAACTCTCTCTCATAGTCTTTTTTTGATTTGAAAAACTTTATTCGGAAGAAATGTGATCGGGATCTTCGTTACGGTGAAATCTTTCCCACATTTGAAAGAACAATTTTTCCAACCCTTTGGCATATTGCGAACAATCAAACAATGGGCTCTCGACTCGTGCTTTCCACACTTTCGCTCGCAAAGCTTTTAAATATTCCTTATCGGTTCCCAACCGAATTGCTATGTCCTGGTATTCTTCTCTGCTGTTTGCTATTAATTCTGGGCATCCAAGTGTCGCTAGCTGCGATGCTGCAACCCTGAAATTAAGTTAAAAAATTAAACTTATATTAATATAAACTCACTAAAATCTTTATATATATGATAATATGGGAAATATTTCTATTGGCAAATATTTATAATTTTTTTTCCTTTTATGGTTTAACTAATTTAACTAATTTACAAATTAATACGCTATTAACTAAGTAGTTTTGGAGTACATCGAATATATTTGTATACTTGTCGGACATATTTTCTTTTGGTCACGAAATCGCATCTTCGATCCTATACAGTAGTTGCATATTGTTAACAGAGGACGGTTTAGGATATCCTCTAGTCGGGAGCTCCTGACTAGAACCTCCTACGTGTTTATTTTATAGGTCAGTAGTAGAAAAATATTTACCTGGAAGCTAATGTTTCTCCGGGTAATGTAATTACTGGAGTTCCGGTCCATAAGACGTCCATTGATGTGGTGTGACCATTGCATAGTGGAGTGTCTAGACAAATGTCAGCCAATTGCCCACGACGTACGTGTTCTTCTTTGGCAGCAACGTTCGAAAAAATGACTCTCTCAGATGAAACACCTTAAAGTATAAAATGATCTCTCATTAGGGATAATGTAGTTGCAGTAGTAATACAAGATTAGCTCATCTACGCACACATATTTTAGGACCTTGCACAAATAAATTTGTTAGCAACCGCTTTCTAATTTCTCTACATTATTTGTATGTACCAGTCTACGCACGCGCCTGGTTCTCGAAAATATAAATATAATGCTTCCTAAATTATCTTCGTTTTTATATAATTATATCATTCCAAAATCGGACATTATTTGGCCGGGATATTCCAAAATTGGCATAGCCCTATTACATAAGGTCCGTACAGTAAACCTTTCAGCTTTTACGCTTGGGCCGCGCGTTGATTACCAATCAGTCAGTCAGTCCGCCTGTCGGTCAATTAAAATAAACATATAGAGATTATGAACTTCGACCTACAATTTCGATGCGTATATACAGATATACAGAATGTATGTTGTGGAGCTGGGTTTATCAAATTCGAGCAAAGGCACACTTTAATTATTAATTACTTACCTAAATCGCTGACGGACTTTTTTATATTTTGCTCGCCGACTGCTGGAAATCTGAGAAGCCATAACACTGATTTAGGCACATTTTTCAGAATAACTACCCAGGATTGCAGAGTTTGAGGGTCGATTTTGTATAGTTGATTAAAGTTGCAGTAAACAATCGCGTCATCAGGTAACATGTATTGACGACGTGTTGTTATAACAATATTTTGCGGAACTTCTTCTCCCGTAGCCGCTTTGTTATTTGTTTGTGTAGTTGCTAGTCCATTTTGAACAAGAACGCCATTCAAAGATGTTTGTACTTGACCAGAGGCAATCATCGATACTATTTGCGTGGTACTTGGCAATTCTGCAACTTTATGTGTAATTTCTACAGGCTTATGAGCATTAACGACTTCCTTTATCTCCTTTACATCTGTATTTTCAACTAATGGCGAAAGGTCTGTTGCATTAATTACAGCGACATTATCTGCAACAGAGGATTGCTGTTTATCGCAAACGATTATACGCTCTTTAAGATGCGGAAACATTTGCTTATGATCACCAATGAAATATGTGAAAGGCATATAAGACAGCTTTTCGCTGTACTGGTAAGCCAACTCCTTGGGACTAGTAACTGCATCAGTTATAATATAATCCATGAAACTTGCTCCACTTGTACCAGGATAGCCTAACCACATAACTTGAATTGGAGCGGGTCTAAGGGCAAATATTTCGTTTCTTGCTCCCTTGGTGTAACCGTTCATATTAACTAAAATATGAATGCCATCTTTGTAAATCTGATCAGCAGCTTTCCCATTACAAGGAATAAGAGAGAGATCCACAAAATGTTCCGATTCGCGGCTTATTTTATGACGGAATGTTGTTCCGTCATCGGGGCTAAGGGCATAGCAAAAAATTTCTACTTTTGAACGGTCATGCAAGCCAGGTATGGACTGCATTAGGTGTGAGGTAGGATGATTTCCAAAATCAGAGCTTAAATATCCAATGCGTAATCGGCCGTCTTTTGATAGCTCCTTTGCAAAATTATATGACTGCTTGTGTAGTACATGGACTTTTTCCAAACATAAATTAGCATGCCTCGCTGCGATTGCTTTTCGAAAATCGTGTGTTAATGGGTAAAGCATTGAATGATGCGGGTGAACGGACGGCAAACGGTTTTTCTCAAGCTGCTCAGCAACGATGCTAACCAATTTCTTCATTCTTATATCATAATCCGTCCAATCACAAACGATCTGCAAACAATGAGCCAAATTGCAATAGGCATCAGGAAAGTCAGGTTTTAGCTTTAGAGCTGTACGGTAAGATTGTATGGCTTCTGGAATATTTCCGGAGTCCTTATGAATGCTTGCCAAATTGCTATGTGCATCAGCAAACGCTGGATTAATTTGAATAGCTCGGGTATAACATTGCAATGCCCCACTAACGTCTTGCAATTCTTTCAAAGTATTTCCCATATTGGAATAAGCGTCAGCAAAAGTTGGCTGAATTCTTATTGCTTCTTTATAATGCATCAGAGCTTCTTTCAGTTTTCCTTGTTGTTGTAGAACAGATGCCAAGTTAGAATGCGCAGCAGCAAAATCTGGAAAAACTTCGAGCGCTTTTAAATAAAGACGGGTGGCTTCCTCTATAAATCCTTGTTCTCGTTTTATATTTGCCAAGTTATTGAGAGAATCAGCGTGATTTGAGCATAGTCGGAGTGCAGTGTTATAACATTCTTCAGCTTCTTTGACCTACGTGAAATAAATTAAATATACGTTGAAATAGGTTATTAAATTATCTATTAGCAATTTTAAGTAGGTAACAAAAGTTTATAACGATGAACATAAATATTTTACCTGTCCTTTTTCCTTAAGAGCATTTGCAAGGTTGCAATATGCATCCGGAAAATTTGGCTGAAGTTCTATAGCCCGTCTGTATGTATCAATAGCCAAATCAATGAGACCTTGTTCATAGTAAACACACGCCAAATTTCCATGTACGACAGCATTGTTGGGCGAAAGATTAAGTGCACGTAAATATGCAGCCACAGCCCTGAAATAAGCGAAAATATATAAAAGCATATACAAATATTAATTAAAACATTAATACAGATAAAAATTCTCTTAATATTTTGCGCGTTTTAAAATTACTATAATTTTTAATGGAAAATAATTTAGTCTTTAAATTAATCTATATGAAGAATAATTTATTTTTGTCAAAGGTTTTTTCAGCCTGTCGAGAAATCGTTTGTACCTGTTTCTCAGAGAAGGAATTCACATGATGCTTGGGCATACTTTCTTTTCGCATTTCACATTAAGTGTCTTGCGTGAAAAATGAACAATTTAAAACCTAAAAATACTTGCCTAACTTGCCAGATCACTGATACAAATTTGCAATCGACCTAGACATCAGAGGAACGACCTCCGGCGCAGTCATAATTAATTAACAGACCTAAAACTCTATGTCCGTAAGCTGTGTTGATGTTTAAATTAAATTGTTAAAATGTTTTATGTGATAAAATGTATTTACCGTTTCCAATACAGTCGTAATATCTTTAAATATCGATGTAAATAATTTGCGTGTTTTATGGTTTTTATAGATGAGTTCGAGTTATCTTGATCTACTCTTATGGGGACAATTGTATAAATAATTATGCTTTGACAGTCCATGTTTATAACAACAGCATAAATGCAAAATATTTATTTTACCAATATTGTGCAATTAACTAACATAAATGTGCTTGTTTTTATGGTATATCCCTTCTTATTTAGATTTATTTAATAACTCTAAGTTTTATTTTATATATACAAACAATTTTTTTTTTAAAAAGACTTTCGACTACTGTGAACCGCCCACGGACAAC